TTGGTTGATTCTGGGATTCTTTTGGTCTGAGTTTGAGTATTGTCGGAGGTGGCAACAAGAGAAAGGTGACTGCTGAACGTCCAGAATTCACCGAAGGAGATTGTGCATTTTCCAAGTTTCTGTTGTCGTACGTAAATTGCTGGAACTGAGAGGATTCGAGAGGGGTGGTGAAGGTGATGAACAAAGCTTGATCCCGTGGGTGGGATCCCTCTGTTTGGATCTTGATCCGTTCCTTTCCTGAATTCTTCGCTGTAGATTTTATACTTTCTTCCTTTGATGTTTTGTGTTGTTTAGTGATTGAAATGCTGAAATTTATGTGTATCTGTTGAGAAATAAATGGTAGATTTACTAGTATGAAATGAATATTTGCTGGGTTTGAAATGGAATGCATGTTTTCTGCAAAATTTTTTAGATGAACCCTAGTTGCCTTATGTCATTTGCACGTGTAATCTTCTTTTGTTCATTTTCATGCTCAGATTGTGTTTCTGGATTGGGTAAACCCGACCCAGTCCAGTAAAAAAAAACTAAAACAAAAAAAAAAAGTAAAAATTTTTTTATATAATGTAAATAAAAAGGACTAATTAATTAGGATAATTAATTTAGTTTATGATTAATAAAATTAATTAACTTTAATTAAAATAAATTAATCATTTTATTGATCTTAATCTAAGATGATTATATTATTTAATTATCTTGATTAAAAAGATTTATAAATATGATTAATTAATTTTAAGTAATTTTAATTAATGATAAATTAATCATTTAATTAAATCAATTATCTTAGTTAATTAATTTAAATCCTTAATTTCCTTTAATCTTGCTAAAAGGCAAAATTATCTTCCTTTGTTTCAATTTTACCCAAAACTTTCAAGATTAAGCAATTTAGTTCATGGGTTTCAAATCTTTTCAAATTAGTCCTCTATGTTTGTGAATTTAATCAAGCCGTCCTCCATGTTTTTGAGTTTAATCAAATTTTCATTTTGTGTTTATTGTGCATGCATGTTCTTGATTTTGTCTATTCCAATCCAAAAAATTAAGAGAAATGTGTTTCGATTCGGTTTATCTCTTTTTTAAGTTTGTTTATTAAGACTCAAACATAAATATGATAAATAAGTTGAACCAAAATCCCAATTTTAAAATATGCAACCGTGTTTTAGCGGAGGATTGTGAGGTGCGCGTATGCCCTTCCTTACTCCTAATCGACCCCCCGAATCCCGATCTCTGCGCAGACCCAATTAAGTGACTTATCCCACCTTATAATTTGGACAAGTGGCTACTCTCTTTTTTTTTTTTATATTTTTCACACTTGATTTTTCATTATTTTGAAAAATCTTAAGTGGTCGTCAACATGGTGTTAAGGATATATATTGTTTGATGTGTTGAGGATGAAGAACAAGACATTATATAGATTCCTGCAATATCTACTATAATCACTAAATTAAGTCTCACAAGATAAGGAAGAAGTTACATAATCTAACCTCAATTCTCACATTATATAATTACAAAGCTTGGGTTTTATATCAAATTTTAAGTAATCATAAGAAACCAAATATTTTCCCCCTTGACAGAATACAAATCTAATGGATATATATATATATATATATATTCCAGAATGCTTAATGCCTCAGAAAATGATTTAAATGTCAATAAAAAGATTATATTGAACTCATAAGCTTTTTGTACTAAAAAAAAATGAGAAAAAAGAGCCAATATCTATCAAATAAAAAACAAGCATTGGATAAACATAAATACATCAAGATCAACACCAGCAAGCTCTGTTGCACAAGAAATGAGGTCTGGTGTTGCTCTATGAATTATTCTGTCCTTCCAGCTACCCAAGGAAGCTTGACCAACCTAAAGGCTAGTAACTACACTAGTTTGACTCTAAATCAAGGATTGAATACACCTACAGTATTGAACACGAACACAAGTTTTTCTTGGGGGGTTCATCCACTTTCTTTTTCGCTAAGATAACAAAATAACCTAACTTAAGATTTAGCACAATAGAACTCTAGAATATTAGTCAATCACTAAAATCAAAGTAAGTGTTCTAAAGCAATTAGTATAAGATTACTTGTTTTTGCTTTTGCTAAAATTGGTTGCACCACAACATGCACAGTGATAACCCTCTTTGGTAGCTTGCCAAATGGTACCCTGCACTGACTAATTATCTTGTTGTTACCTAAAATTTTCCTAGCACTTATTAGTTTGATATCGTTGGTTGACTTGGGTGCAAATTTTTTGTCTAAAACAAATTAGAATATTTAAATCCAATGTTAGTAGAAAGAAAACATGCAATATTAGACACCAAATTATCTAAAATTATTCGAAATTTTTTAGTATAATTATTTTTATTTTAGTTTTTGTGCTATATGAAATTTTTTTAGATATATATCTTTTTTTAGTCAAATTTATACATAGGAATATGAAGGAAAAGACTAGAAGTAATAATAATAATAATAAGCTTTTAATGACAAAAAGTGAAATAATGGTATATTTCAATTATTTTGAGTAATTAACCAAATTATTTGAATAATTTCAAATAATCAAAATTATAACCAAATTAAAAATTTAATTCGAATTAAATATAAAAATCTTATCTAAAATTATTTTGAATAATAAAAAATTTAATTTGATTTGGATAATCCCAACTAAATGTCCAATCATACTTATTTGATTTTATATAATTATTGTGATGTATAAATTAATGAATTTGTTGACAAAAATAAATTATGTATGCATTATTTTCATAAATTTAAAAGCAAAATTAAGTTAGTAACATAGTGTGGTGAGATGAAACTTATGAAACCTACAATTGAAATTTATAAAAAAAAAGGTAATAAATTAATAAATGGATAGAGATTTGACTATAAAAAAATTCCATTTCATGACAATTAGTAACAATATTAGTTAAATGTTAGGTAAGAGAGGTAACTAATATGAAAATTAAAACTAGAGGTAATACAGTAGTATGTTTGGGGAGAGTAGAGGGAGATCTTTGAACAATTTCAAAGTACAGGGAGGACAACGAACAAAAAATGAAAAATAGAGGGACTATAGTTGCTTTAACCCTAAACATGATAAGAGTCAGCTTTAGCATGCTGCAAGGACTACAAAAACTATATGTCAAGAACGCCATCCATTGTTGTAGATCGACTTCTTTTCTCCTTAGATTGCAGAGGCTGCAAGAAGATTGGCTTCATTCTCAATTTTAGGGGATTCAAGGACGGTCTTCGCAGCTTCAATGACGCCATGTCCACTAACATAGTGTTGACGACAAACAGGCATGTAGACATCCGCTCCACCAATCAATTCTGTCTCCTTCTCTTGTGTCTTCCTAAAGGTGAAGAAGGCCTTTTTGCCACAGAGTTCACATCTGGCTGTTAATTTGGTCACAGTATCAGCAAGGGGGACAACTTCAAGAACTGAACCAAACCTCCTCCTGCAAATAACAGTCATATCCTAACATTGTTAACTAAAAATAAAAAAAATACATACAAAAGAGGCCAGAGAAAATGAATATGAAAGAATACCTCATGTAATCACCATCAAGGCCTGCAACAATCACAGTCTTACCATCCTCATCAGCGGCCTTGCAGCAGAAATCATACAGATCTTCAAAGAACTGAGCCTCATCAATACCAATCACATCCAGCTGCCAACATTCACCAGCAAGAAAACAGTGTCAGAATTTTATCAACATTAAAACCCAAAACTTAATTCTCACCCTCGCCAAGACACTGGCAGACAACAAATTGTGAAGAAAATCACACAAAATTTTTTCCTATCAGTACCATGATCCATTTTCCAAACTAGAATTTTCCCATCAAATTCTCACATACACTAAAACCCATTTTCACAATAGTGTGATTCACCAAAATCATCCTATGGATCATCATAATTTTTTCCTTGAATACCTTGTTTCAAGAATCAACAAGACAATTGATGATCAAACTAAAAAATTTATTAGGAAATCACCTTCTCATAAGCTTCTTTTCCCAGTCTAAGGGGGAACGACATGAGATCCGGCAAGGCCCAGCACGGAAACTTCAGCCCATCGTGCGTCACAACCGAATCCACAGCATATCTTGTATCTTTGCTCGACTTTATCATCGCAACGTTTCTAAAAAAGAGTACTTTCTGAATCTTAAAAATCCAAACTCAAATTCGAAAAACCCTAAGATATATAACAAAATTAGGCGAACCCACAAAATAAGGAAAAAAATACAGATATGAGTAGGACAA